ACTTTATTGAAACTTGGGAAATAAAAGGTGCCATACAATAGAATATCCAGACCTGAAGCCTGCTTGCTCATCTGCCAATATATGCTCTGAATCAATCCAGTCAAGTAATTTATTATATAGGTGTCTGGCATAGAGCTTACTTATTATGCTTAACAAGCTAATGGGCCTATAATTAGCAGGCAGGTCTCGAGTGCCCTTTTTTAAAATAGGCACGATAATAGCTAGGCCCCAATCCTCTGGAATTTGTGCAGTGCGATCGATATAGGTAAACAGGGAAGCAAAAACAGGGGTCCACCATTCCAAATTATTACGTAGTATTTTGGGTGTAATAAAGTCATTGCCTGGAGCTTTACCAGGCTTTAGCTGATTTATAAGCCTCTATTTCAGCATTTGTAACAGGAGCCCAGTTGGGGAGCAGGTTAGCATTAAGATCTAAATCAATTGTATAGACCTCTTCTTGTGAATAAGTATAAGGGCATGTCCATAGAGAGAATATCCAGACCTGAAATGATCCTCCCACACAGATGCAGGTAGAAGGTGAGGAAATGAGAGAGGCCTGTCAATTGAATGGGCAGCTATCAAGTGCCAGAACAGAGTGGAGTTTCTGGCTTGAGATGCTGTTATCAATTGCTGCCAGGAAGCCTTAGTAAATTCTCTTTTCTTGTTTTGTAAAAGATGTTTATATTGTTTCTTCAAGAGCATAAGGTCTCCTTAGTAAATTCTCTTTTCTTGTTTTGTAAAAGATGTTTATATTGTTTCTTCAAGAGCATAAGGTCTTGGATGGAATGCTCAACTGGGTTCTCTTTATATAGCTTAAATTCCCTGATCAGTTTTCTTTTGGCCTCAAAACATTCTGCATCAAACCAGGGCTGGGAGGAATAAGTCCTACCCCCTGGATTTTCTCTTTTCCTTGATATCTGGGTGGCGATCACTGGCTGGAATAACTGAATCAGTTGTGTAAATGTCTGTAGAGGAGAATCCCCAGACCTCTCTCTAACTATGGTGAGGTGCAATTGCAGTGCTGCTTCAGATAAAAGCAGCTGAGAGATTT